GGATACTGTCTTCAGGATGGAAGGGAGGGGAGGGTGCTCTGTCTGGAGTTTGCCCAACCTGTGCTGGAGGATGGGGTGGGTAGAGCCCTCCTCCTGGGGTGGGGGGTTCCAATCCACCCACTGCACCCTCCAGTGGAGGCTGGGCAAACCTCAGATGGTGCTCCTTCCCCTTTTCCCCATTCCACCCTGAAGACATCCTGGGGGCAGGGCTCGGCTGATGCCCACTCCCAGATGTAGACAAACAGAAGTTAATGAAGGCTTTGCTTTGGAGCACCTTCATCTGAACCCTCATGAAATAAGGGTTAATTTATCCCGTGATCGGACACTTTTAAAGTGCTCTGCAGCCGTGCCCTTCTGTCATGGCACAGCTGTAGAGTGCTTTCAAGGAGCTAATTGTGTGACAAACAACTTCTGTTTGCGCCCTGTGTGTATTCAGAATAACTCTTTTAATTTGCTGACAAATACATGTTTTCAATGCTTTTTACTTCTGTTAGCACTTCAGAGACAACATTGCAGGGCCATTGAACTGGAATCTGGTTCTTTTCTGTGAATCACCAACAGAATTGTTATCAAGTTCTTTTAATCACTTATATCTATTCCAAATCCATTGCTGCATTATGCTGTGAAGGTAAAACTAGTTTGTATGCAGATTTTGAAGTGGTATAACTGTTTTAAGCAAGGGAATGTTTTTTGACTGAAATAACTATGGTGGTACAACCTCTGTAATTGTGGCTACATTTATATCAATATACAGGTGTCTTGTACCAGTAGAAAATATTTCTATACCTACAGGATGAAAAATTACTGGTTTAAGGTGTTTTAATTGCATCTACTCTTAGGGTCATGTACCTCTTGTTAAAGCTATGCATGTTTTCTATGAAGGCAAAGTCAAGGGTCTTCCCACACCTATTAACTCATTGTGCTGGTCTGATTAAGGCACACCAGTTTCTGCCAGTATTTCACAACGGAGTAGTGTGACTAGGATCATGTCTGACTGTGTATGTCTGTGGACACATGTATATCTGGAACAGTTTCAAAGGGGGAGCTGCTGATCAGGTGTGCAGAAACTTGCATTCTAACAGCTATATCTGGCCAAGCTGTGAAGAAAACAAAAGTAGCAAAATAGCTCCATCTTTAATGCTGCTTCATCCAAGGTTTTGCTACGTTTCTATGGTTCATAGCTTGTCCACACATAACTGTTAAAACGTAATAGCTGCTATGTGGGACACACCAAGCATCTCCCTCGTCCTTTTGAAATGGCTCCAAATGCATGTGTATTCATACACTTTGACTTCCCAGCCCAAATGACTAAATACCTATTTATAGCTGAGTTAACTGTAGGCTGACTTGGCTTGAGCTCAAAACAGGGCTTGCAGAGCCACAGTGAAAACATCTTAATTTCTCTGATACCATCCCCTATGCAGACAATACCCAAGTATAATTTGAAAATATCAAAACTGAATTGTGTCGATGAATGCCTGATTTGACCTACAGAACCTTTACTACTGATGTTGCTGGTGAGAAGGAGAGAATATTTAACTGTTCTCAGGCTAAATAGGCAGGACTGGTAGTTTTTTTTTTAACTTGTATTTTTTACTTGTAAAGCGAATACATTTGATTCAGCGGCAGTAAATCAGTGGCAGACAAAGCATGCATCATTACAAAGGCACTGCAGTGTATTTCACAGAGTAAGTCATATTTTAAATAAACCCACCCTGCGGCCCTTGCATAGTATAGGTTTTCATGTAAGGAATCTAGCAATAAATTATTTTAAACCTCTTAAATAGTATTTTATTTAGGTTACTATTGTCCTATCTTCTTTAGGTTTCAGAATGCTATGGCAGGAAGCAGTGGGGTTTGTTTGGTTTTTTTTAATCTTTGTTCTTTCAGTCTTTCTCTTTCATATTTTTGATTGCTTTCCCTGTTTAAAAACTGTTCTGAAGAAATGTCCTACAATGTATTAAATGCAGGGTAGAGCTGCACCTTTATAGACTATTTAAGATACATAGTTCACAAACTTTCATGAGCCCAAGTTCACTTTATGAGATTCTGATGAACATTTTGTACCACCGTTTTTAGCTCAAGTAAAGAAAACTATATGTCAGAACTAAAAATACCATTCTAATCCTATCAGTCTATAATGATATTAATTGTACTAATTAAATAGTATTAATTAAAAGCAGTTAGCATCATAAACTAACTTTAGTCAGGTTTGTGATATAGTGTTTAAAAAGGTAGTTTATGTAGTGTTTTGACTGTTTAGTCTTATATTTGAATCTTGTACTGTTTTAAATATGAAACAAAGTATGCCAAAGTCCTTGCTTACTACATTGACTTATGTGAACAAGACATGTCAGCCTAGAATTGGCTTGCTGAATTCAATTAAACAGATAGCAAAATTTGTTAGTTTTCTGATTGTCTTGATTTTTCATGCTTAGACTATGGGGGGTGAAGAGATTGCCAGAGCTAATAATCAGTAAAACAGATTACCATTGTTACAAATAGGCAAATTATTCTTACCAGGATCTATATAAACTATTCCATTACCGCTGAGGTTTAGTATCTTCAATTCGCTAACATCTTCAAACTCCTTAGCTTGCAGTTGTTTGATTTTATTGTTGGACATATCGAGTTTAACAATATCTGGAGGTATGTTACCTGGAACTTTCTTTAACTCTTAAAAAAAAAATGAAAAAGACGTATGTTAAGTCATCTCTAGTTTATCTCTACTACTTGTACTTTCAGCAACTAGCTGTGATAAAAGATAATTGGTGTACTGTGCCTTTACCAATAAGGAGAGCAGTGGTTCTTGGGTTTTGAAAGTACTTGAACAATTTGGGGAAAATACAAAACTACTTCTTATATCTTGTAAAAGTTTCTTTTTTTCCCCCCTTCCTTTTGCTTACTGAACACTGGCCTATGTCTCTTGCCATCATTTCACATGTTAGTGTGAACAGTTTTCCTTGTGTAACTTCTTTTGACTGAAACAGATTTATTTCAAGCCATGTGCAGGCATTGAATTTTTCTTTTTGCCATTCTCCTGGTAGAAATGACAAGTGTGCAAGAATTTGTTCAATTTCTTCTGAAGGAAACAAGCCTCTTCCAGGGAACATCTTCCAAGCAACAGTCTGGAAGAGATCTCCTTTGTGAGAGAGCTTCTCTTACAAGAACAAATGCTTGTATTCTCCACTCTGGTCTCACATTTGTACTCTCCCCTCTGGTTTTATGAGCCTGGTGGAGGAGTGTATAGATATATAAGGAGAGCCTTTGAATAAAAACTGATATATAAATAGAGGGTTTGATAGTGGAGAGCTTAGTCACTTCATTAAATGAAACCTATGGAACAAACTGTGTGGAAATGTTTCATCAGTTTGAGAGAGGATTCCATAATCAGACCCTACCTTGTACCTTTCTGTTTCACACTATCAAAAGTAAAGTGTCCAGAGTATTAAAACAAGTGAAAATATGATGATTATTACTATTAGAAGTAATGTTGAGTCATTTCAGCTGACCATTTGGATTGAGCAGGATTGCCCCCAAATCCTGCACACAGCCACCTCCTGCCTGATCTGTAGGATAGTGCTGGGGGCAGCTCTGAGTCTCAGTAGGATCTGAGGAACCTTATACCCTACTCCAAACATTGCATGTCCTGCTATTCACCATTATTTTAATGTCTGCCAGGGGCCTGAGAGAGTAAAACTCAGAGTCCATCTTTGTAAGTCCTCTTAGTCATATGACTTCTGTTTTCTGTGATCCTTGGGAAAAGTAATGATCTGACCTGTCTGAGGGAAATTTATTTTTTAGAATAAAATAATATGCTGGTCCTATTAGTAGCCTAGGGAATGACATAGAATAGAGAACAATTTAGAGTTTATAATAGCATCCAGACCTAGCTGAAAAATTTCTGGACCCTAGCCAGGTTAATAGACATGTAGACATCTGAAATGTGTTGGTATTGTGCAGGCACAGTTCTCTTGGGTACTGCTGGATAAGACATTCATCTGTTGATAAGCTACCCAAAAATGTGTCCTTTTAGTTGTCAGTAATTTGTTTATGCTGAAGACTGCAACAGGTTTGCTTTTTTTTTGCTGGGAAGTGACCTATACTATATGCAATTTTAAAAAATATAACACAGTCTGGAGTCGTTATAATCTAGTAGGTCAGCAAATAGAAACTAATGTTCCATATTTAATGTGGAGAAGCCAGAGCCTTTTTGTGAAGCCACAAATAAAACTTTTACATTAAAGATTTTTTTTAAAAAGAAAATGCATAGGCTATGCTAATGGGACTTCCCAAGGATCCCAACCTTGACATGGTAGAGAGACTTGTGCTCCTGGTAGTCTAGTCACCCATGCTGGCATGTTTGAGAGTGAGGTTTCTAGACTAACGACTATTCAAAAATAAATACAAAAGCCCTCAGTTGTAGAGCAGGCAGATGAAAAAAGAATACCTTACAGTGGCTGCAGAGGTGGATGAAGGCTGCAGCAGGATAGAAAGCTCCAGTTGTCTAGGTTTTCCTTGTCCTTGGATTACAGTTTCCTTCCCACAATTACTGGAAACCTCTAGTTATGGACTTGCACAGAGGCAGTGATTGCATGATGGTTGTTTTGTACTTGGAATTGAGACAGTTGTGCAATTCAGCAGCTGCAATCATGACTGAGCAGATCTATTTAGGGTCTACTCTCTCAGTTCACCTAGCTGGAAAACCATGTCTAATGGGATCACTCTATCGGCAGTCCAAATCAAGTAATGAAGTTTGCAGTCTGGCACGTCCACACTCTGATGGACAACCCTAGCAGTGACTGATGGGAGCAAAGGACAGCACTCATGGACAGAGAACTTGCATGACTTGATATTAACATTGTTTCACTTTGTCAGGGCAGACACACTGGACAGGAGCAGTCACAGGCATGGTGGTTGCTAAACCTATTTTTTTTGGAAAGGAAAAGGCAGACACATCCACAGCGTTGGTTTTGCTATCAAAACCAAGATTGTTACTCAGATGCTGGAGTGTCTAGCTGGCATCAGTGAGTATCTCATCACCCTTTATCTTCCACTGACCAACAGATGACATAAAACAGTCATCAGTGCATATGCCCTGACCTTGATGCAGATGAAGAAACAAAAGAAGAATTGGATTCTAAACTTGACCCAAGTCCTGTCATTTGTTTCTAAAGAAGATAGGATAATTCTTTGCAATTTTAGTACTAGAGTAGGCAGAGACTCTGAGTTATGGAAAAAAACACCTAGAAAGGTAGGGGTGGGAAAAGTCAAATTTAAATGGCATTGTTTTCCTGAACAAGTATTCAGAACATGTCTCATCATTCCTTACTCTACCAAAGCAATAAATGGAAGACGATGTGAATGCGCCACTACTCAAAATACTGGTACTTGATTAACTCTGTCAGTGTGTGCTGGGACTCTCATGATGTCCGTATCACTGGAGCTATGAGCAGCGCAGACATGACTGCTGGGTGGATCATTGTTTGATACATTGTCATGTCCATTTGTATCACCCCAAAATGACATAAACAAAAGAAGCAATCAAGGAAGAGGTTCAATATTGAGTACTTAAAAGACCTTACTAAAAGTGGCCATCTCCAGCAATGTCTCAGTGAGAAACTCTCTGACCTCCCTGATGACTATATATTAATCACTGGAAGAGCTTCAAGCAAGGCATCCATGAGGTGTGCAAAGAATCTCTTTGCTTCTCTGCAAAGAAAAATCAGGACTGAGTCAGTGAGAATGATAGGGAAAATCAAGCTCTTATTGACAGAAAATGGAGAGCCTTCAAAGCTTGGCAGAATGACATCAACTCCAGAAGACGCTTATCACCACATTAAATTTGAGACCCAGAGGAAAATTTAAGAAAAAAGTGCAAGTGTTGGGAACACAAAGCAAGAGAGATTCAAAAGTTTGGTGACAGCCACAACATGCATAGTTTCTACAGCACAACAAGGAGTTGTCCCTTTGAGGTCCAAGGATGGAACAACCCTCTTTAAAGACAACTCCACCATCGACGCACAGTGGAAGGAGCTCTGCATGAGCTTCTGAACCAAGATTCTAATGCCAGAGGTAGTACCTTCAAAGCCATTCCACAACACCCTATTAAGGACTACCTTGAAGATCCACTGACTTATCAAGATTCCTTGAAAGCCATTAAGCAGATGAAGAACAACAAAACATGTGGTCCTGATGCAATATCAACTGAAATTTATAAATTCCCAAAGTTTTGAGAGATGCCAGAATTGTTACCATATTAAAGAAAGGAGATTGATTGGATTGCAACAATTCTCTTCGTATTGTATTCCTGTCCATAGCTGGGAAGATCTTTGCCTGCAATCTCCTCAACAGTCTCACTGTCTTTGCCAACGAGATTCTATACAATGTGTTTTCAGACCACTCGGAGGCACAGTAGAGATGATCTTTGTTGGGAGACAGCTGCAGAATAACTGCCTCAAGTAACACTGAGATGTTTATTGACCTAATGGTTTTATTCCAGTCAACAGAGAGGCCCTATGCAAGATCCTGATGAGATCTGGATGTCCGCCAAAACTTGTTTCCATTATCAAACTTCTTTGATGGCATGACAGGACATATCCCGAGCAATGGCTCAGAAACGACTTCTTCGCTTTCAGAACTGGAATCAAGCAAGGATGTCGTTTGACTCCAGTATTCTTTCCTGCCATGGCAGGGGGTCGGACTTGATGATCTGCTCAGGTCCCTTCCAGCTCTACCAACTATGAAACTGGCAACTATGTGTAGTTGTCCTAGTTCTCTTTTCTATCAGTATTGTATCTGTTCTGCATCTCATTGCTGGTAGACTTCAATCTGGAGTCAGCATCCAGTATTGCATGGATGGGAATCTCTTTAACATCAATTGGTCACATTCCAAATCCAAGATAACCAGTGCCTCCATTACTGATCTTCTGTATGCTAATGATTGTGTTGCATGTGCCCACTAGATTGAAGTGTGCTGCAAGTCATTTTTGATTGCTTCTGTGAGTCCAAGCACTATGAAGTGCTTGGACTCACTGTCAACTTCATAAAAACCAAGATACTATATTAAACTACCAGAAACCAACCAGCTGCTCTTCCACATATTGCAATTACAGGGCAATCCTTGGTAAATGTTAAGGATTTCTCCTGCCTGGATAGCCATCTTCCTCAAAAAACAAACATAGACGGTGATATTCAATACTAAGCAAAATCTGCCAGTGCTGCCTTTGGATATCTCCAAAACCATGTCTTCAATAATCATGATATCAGGACCCAAACCAAACTTCTTATCTACCCAGCTGTTGTTATCCCGTCCATGTTATATGGGTATGAAACATGGATGACATATCGGAATACCTGAAATCTTTGAAACAATACCATTAGCAATATCTTCAGAAAATCCTCTGTCAGTTGGACAGACAGAAGAATGAATGCCAGCATTCTGGATTAAGCAAGCACCCACCAGCATTGAAGCCATGTTTATGTGGCACCAGCTCTGTTGGACAGAGTATATCATAAAGATGCCTGACAACCAGCTACTGAAACAAGTCTTGTACTCCCAACTCACTGACAGTCACTACTTTAGGGGTGGACAAAAGAGATTCACCTTGAAAGCCAATCTGAAGAAATACAACATTGACATCCAATACCTGCAAGACTCAAGCACTAAGTGGTGCCATAATGTGCATCAATTGTTTTGAGCAATTCTGCCTCATGATGGAGCACATAGACAAGAGAGACAAAGGGAAAGAGCTATGATCCAACATCACCAGGATCTATTCCTTCCTCGTGGAACTATTTGCCACATCTGCAGTCAAACATGCAGATCTCAGATTGGCCTCCTCAGTCATGATGGACTCACCAATGACTTTCCTATTTACTGGAAGACAGTCATCTTCATATTGAGGACTGCCAACAATGATATTAATGGGGGCAACCTAATACTTCAATAATGAACTAAAAACCTCATATTTATTTTACAGAAATATAATACAAATCATATACTGCTATCATTGGGAAAAGGAATTTCAGTTTATCCTCTGAAGCACTGACAAATGTAGTATATCATTTATCTAGTAAGAGGTATTTGAGTAACTCCTGTTTCAAAAGGAAAAAAAACCCTATATCCATATTCATTTTTCATAAGGTTGTATCATAATCTTCCCCCTGCATTTCCCTCTCAGCACTGGTGTGAGATTTTATAGAGATTTCATAGACATTAGGGCTGGAAGGCACCTCGCAAGATCATTGGGTCTAGCCCCTGCCCAAGGGACAGGAAGTCATTTGGGGTCAAGTGATTCCAGCAAGATAGGCATCCATGTGTTTCTTGAAAGTGTCCAGAGTAGGTGCTTGCACTACCAGTGGGGGGAGTCTATTCCAAGCCTGAAAAAACTCAGACAGTAAAGAAGCTTTTCCTTATAAGTTTTTTTCCTTATATCCAGCTTAAAATGGTCTTCCAGGAGTTTGTGGCCATTGTCTTCCCTTGGGATGTTCTGGTGAACAGTCGTTCTCCCAGTTCCTGATATACACCCCTTATGTACTTACAGGCTGCCACCAAGTCACCCCTGAGCCTATGCTTTCCAGGCTGAAGAGTCCCATGGCTCTCAGCCTCTCCTCATAAGGCCTGCTTTTTTGTCCTCTAACCATGTGCATGGCTCTCCTCTGGACTTTTTCAAACTTCTCCACATCTTTTCTGAATTGCGAAGCCCAGGATTGGATAGACTAGTCCAGCTGTGGCCTCATTGAGGCTGAGTAATGTGGGAAGATGACTTCCTGGGTCTTGCTTGTGATGCATTGGTAGATGCAAGCCAGAGTTTTGTTTGCTTTGCCAGCTGGGGCAAAGCATTGTATTGTTTGCTCACGTTCATCTTGTGGTCAGTCATGGCCCCCAAGTCTCTTTCAGTCATAGTGTTGAGGACAGAGACTTGGCCACTTTCTAAATTGAACCAGTTATACCAACGGTTTTCAACCTTTTTAAGAAGTTACCCCTTCTGGTGGAGTGGAGGGTGGAGGAGACTGGATGTGGAGCTGTGGGGGGGCTTGCACATAGTGGCAGCGGTGGTAGTGCTGGATGGTGGCGGTGGCAGCTGCATGCAGGCTCCCCCCCCCAATACATTTGGCCAGCTGGGTGGTGCTGGTGTGGCCCACAGAGGGGAGCTACTGCCCTCGCCCCCACCCCTGGCCATGCTCCTGGGAGGTAGCGGCACAGGGTGATGGGTGGTGGTGCTCCATCCCTGCCCGCCCATGTGTACTCCCCAGTGCCTTTCCAAGTACCCCCGGGGGTATGTGTATCCCCGGTTGACAACCCCTGAGTTATACCTTTGAGATGTGCATCATTTCTAGCATTGTTAGTCAGATGATCAACCTGTTGTAAGGGACGCTGGCTATAGCTTCATGGCTGCCTCTTGCTGAGTATATGGAGGAGCTCTCTAGTGTATCTTTGAGGCCACTACAATTTGCTTCTTTATTATTATTATTAATAATAGATTATTTTAAAAAGTGTGTTATTGTTTCTAAAGACTGTGAAACATTAACGAAAAGTTAATATTTATTGGTAAGCTTCTGTGAGTTTGGAGGGGAAGAACCAGTGCCATGTATTCTCTATTTTCCTCTTCCCAGAATTTTGAGTTCATTCAACTCATTTTGTTCCCTCTGTGAGATAGATACATAGTGAATGATCTGCCCTTGGTTGTCAGTCTGTGATTCAGATTTAGGGCTGATTTCCTTAGATGTCTGTCTTTGTTCAGTATTTGAGCTGTTGAGGGTAATGGTGGGATCCTGTTGTCTTAGATCACAGAAAGTAGAGGGATAGGTGATTTCGACATGATGTGGATTGGATACCTTATGTTATCATAACCTGAAGCTTCTAATTTCTTCTAGTCAGAACCTGTTTCCTCATACTAACTTCTCAATTTGTCTAGCCTTCCTCCATCTGATACTGGTAGCCGGGCATAGACAGAGGCCCCCCCTGGAATTGGTCAGGGGATAGAAACACCATCAAAGTGGTTACATACATTTGTAGTTACTCTTAAGGCAAATAGAAGAAAATAGTAAGCAGTTTGACAACCATACTACAAGACAAAAATAATTTGCAAGAGCTGGGCAAAATCCTCCCAAACTGGGCTACTCCCATGTCTTGGTACTTGTATTTATTTTTTTGTTTGCATTTGCATTTTGCAAAGAGTGTTACCAGAGAACAGCCCTCAGCTAAAATATCTTTGTTTTTTCTTTGGAAACATGAGACAAAATATGATAAATGTAAAACATAGACAGACTTGCACGTATGTATTCACATATCCCAGCTGGTTTACCCTTAGTGTTTAGTTATGATTCCTAAGAATCTGAGATGCATTAGGGTAGGGGCGGGAGCCCACTTCCTGTGTAGCAGTACTTGGAAGTGTTTTAACTATAAAATGCCTCCCAGGCACAGAGAAATACCCGTTGCTGTAACTTTTAAGAGAAGCAACTAGCACAACCCTCAATGGAAGTAGTCATGCAGGTGGGGGCAGGGAGGGAGGGGTGTCACAACACCTTCCCATTCAGTAAGTTCATCTGCGGGGCCTCCAAGCACTGCTAGTAACTCCTGTCTGGGTTCACAGGTCTCTGCTGTCAAATTTTGGCTTCGTTGTGCTTGTCACTGAAGGGAGAAAGAGCTTTCTCCATCAGTGCAGCCACTTTGGAACAACTATGATCACATGTAGGCTTATAGAGGCAGCAGTAAAATCGCTAGAGTAAAATGGAAAAAAACTGGGTTCTGATACTGTTATAATTTGAGCATGTGCTTAACTTTGCACCATGAGAAGTTTTGTTGATTTTAGTTGAATTATACTTGCTTCTTCACGTTAAGTATGTGTTTTTACAGAGTTGGGGTTCCAGCATGGAGGTAAAATAACACGAGACTTGTTGCTATGTTGTGTATAATCACAAGAATTAGAAATTTTCAGTATGGGTTAAGGCAAAAGCTTCCTCGTACTATACTGATTTTTCTGTAATATAATTGATATGCAAACTAATGTAGCAGATGGGCAGGAATATTGAGCCAGTTAATTAAATATATGTGTACAAACCTTTTCTTTTGCAATCCAGTGTTTGTACAGGAAACACATAAATGTGGCAGAGAGAGGAATCAAATTCTGGTTTGGCAATTTTAGGCTTTTTTACTATACTTTTAGGGTGCAATCTTTCCTCCTCGCTGCACAGATGTTCAATTTTTATTTGCTTTAGTTTTTGATCTTTCAGTTCTGTTGGAAGTGCACACTTGGCATAATTTCCCAAATTCCTGTTTGCTGGAAGCTGCAGCATTGTAATAAGAGTTTCCAGGTCACAGGTGCAATGCCATGGATTATCATAAAGACGTAGGTAGCTTAGGAAGGGCATGTAAATAAAAACCTCCTCTGATAAAATCTTGATCTGGTTATGCTGAAGTAAAAGTGTGGTAAGTTTACTTAAGCCAAAAAAAGCCTCACTCTCAATTTTTGCTATTTCATTCTGTTGTAAATCCAGACTTTTCAATAGTTTATACTTGGAAAACATATTATTCTTCAATTTGCGAATTCTGTTTCTTGCTAGCAGCATGTGTTTTAAATCCTCAGGCCAACTAGGTGACACAAACATTAGTTTTCTTTCTTGGCAATCCAAGTATTTCTCATGAAGATAAGTATATATATCACAAGGCAGCCCTGGGGCATAGCGCTTAACTGTGCTAGATGCTTTCCTTAACCTGCTTGTCTTTCCATTATTCACTTTGTTTCTGAAGCTCCCATTTCTTGTCTTCCTCAAGTCAGCAGTTTTACACAGAAAAAGTAGTATTATAATAGTAACTACTCGCATCCTGACATGCAGCTGGCTCCAATTACTTTCTGTGGAACAGGCCAAGTATTCCTTTGAAATTTGAGGTTGGATAGTCTTAAAACCAGCGTTGTTTAAAATTGAGGAGGCACAGCTGGGGTATGTGGAGTCCCTGTGTTGGAAGAAAATAGAATGTAAGAAAGTTTAAGAGAGACATTTTCATAGAGACTAGTGCATAAAATGAAGTATTACAAAATAGTCTAATTAGCACAGAATTTGAAACTTACTCAGGCAGAAATATTAAGGTCACATCTTACTCCTTAGTTGTTAAAGTTGTCTTTCTCACTCATTTTGATCAACATAGCAAACTGAGTCAAAATGTAGGCCTAGAGTCTGGCTGGGTTTTGATTGGCTGTTCACTTGGATTTATGAGAGATCCTTGGTGAGTTTCTCATTGTGCCTGCCTGCAGAAGAGCCAAGCACAATCATAGGCATGGTATCAAGTGAAAGCAAGGACTGCATCTTCCCACTGCACTTGGGATGCAAACCATCCCAACAGAGCTGACCAGCAGGAGAGAGTGAACGTATACTGCCCGTGCATTCACCTTCAATAATATGGGGAAATCTTGACCTGCTAACTCATCTGAAAACCATAACTAAGCCCCCCTTTTCTTCAATAGGATTCATTAGAATTTTATTGAACTCAATATTTTTCTAGTGAAGACATACACAAAATTACAGTATTTAAAATATAAGAATAAGCTGCCACCTAGGTATCACCAATATATTTGTAACAGTTCCTTGTTTGCATCAGGAATCCAAAGCAACCCTCATTCACTTTCATCTATATTGTGCACATGTAAAAGAAATAATATGACCTTGAGACTGGATTTTTTTTCTTAGTATTTAATTTTTTCAATGCTATATTAACATTTGTTTTTAAAGCTGTACAATCTATTTTTGTGGTAGATTTATCTGATGAAGTTAAAGTAACTTCTGGATTTCATTATAAAATAATTATATCAGTGTGGTACAAACAGGAGGACACAGGTAATTGTTTCTGTAAAGTTTAATAGTATAAAATGGAAAAATGTCTTTTAAAAAGTAGTGCAACTATTTCCATCTAAAATAAAAAATAAGAGTGCTTCTGATCGTAATTATTTTGTTGGAAAAGCTTTTGTAAGATCACCATTTAATTTCTGTATCTACCAGCAGCAGTCTATATCAGCATTCTTCTAATGCACATAATTTTATGAAACTGCATCTTAGTTAATGGTTTTGTCCATTACATATTATGAAAAATATAATTAATTTTATTTATTAATTTTTGGGAAACTGTTCAGGCAGGTTTTAATCGCATCCTTCACAACTGGATTCTCTCTTATTCTGAACTGTCCTACCATTTTCATAGGTTTCTGATCCTGGGATTGTGGCAGATCCCCCTACCTAGGGGAAGTCCAAAATGAAGCAAAGAGGAACCTGGGGGAGGAAGGCTAATGTATGTGAATTATATAAGTTTGTTTCCATCTCCTATAGCTGAATCTCATTGAGTTCTACCCACAAGTTAAGCTTTGCTCAGGTTTGACAATAAAATTAAGAACAGAGGAACATGAGAAGTACTATACTGAGTCAGACTAGTGGTCCACCTAGTCCAATACCCTGTATCCAACAGTGGAAGGGGTAGATGCTTTAGAGGGAGAGCATTAAACCAAATATATCTAAAGTAATCTATCCCCTATCAATTACCCTTCCTGGTATCCACCAATATTGGTTTAGAGATACCATTGGAAACATCTCCGACCATTCTTTTCAACAGCTCTTAATAGATCTATCATCCATTAATCTAGTTAGTCCCTTTTTAAACCTGGCTGTATTATCTGCCTCTACCACCTCCTGTGGCAGTGAATTCCATAAGTTAACTATGTGTTTCATGAAAAAGTATTGTCTTTTGTTAATTTTAAACCTGTTACCTACTGATTTCAGTGTGTTCCCCTTAGTTTTAGTATTCTGGGACTTGTAGCAATTCACTTCATGATTTATAGATCTCTATCATATCCCCCTTCAGCCTTCTCCTTTCTAAACTGAAGAATCCAGGCTTTTTAGTCTGTCACAGTATGGTAACTGTTCCATGCCCCTGATCATTTTGGTTGTCCTTCTCTGTACCTTTTCTAATTCTGCTACATCCGCTGGGGATGTGGAGACTACAATTGCACACCATATTCAAGACATGGGTACGCTATGGATTTATACAGTGGCATTTTCATGTTCTCTGTTT